GCTCTCGGCCCCCCTGTCCGACCTTGGCGAGCTGAAGCCACGTGTCACGGAGGTCTTCCAGCTCCACCTGTAGCCCCCAACTGCCAGCAAGGAGCATCCCCACTGCCGCAGCACCTGGACTCCCCCCCAAACAGCCAGGGAAGCATCTCATCTAGCTGCCCCCGGCCCCTACGCTGGGCTTGGGGTGGCCCTGTCATCAATAAAGGGTCCAGGAGGAGAGTGTGTGATGCCTTTTCTGTACGGTCCCTTGTCCCTCACCCCAACGCTCCCACAGGCTCTGTCCCTCCTACCCCCCAGCCCAGCCCCTGCTGCCCCCCCTGCCCCGCTGCTGTTTGCTCAAGAGTGCAAAGGTCTCCACGTCTGCTGCAGCCTCGCTGAGGTCCTGTCCGGCCACAGTCCTGTGCATGGCCCAGAGAGCAGGCGGCGCTCCAAGGGGGGCTGAGCCCTCCCGTGAGCCCCCGCGTCATCTGCCGCTGCCGCCTCCTCCCCCCTGGGTTTTTCCATGGGGATGTTTCAATTTGCCGGCATCACAGGGAAAACGGCATCTTACCACCCCCAAACTGGAGACTGGGGAGCTGAGGTTTGCTTGGCTCCCCCAAAATGCCAGGGCACGCTCCCATCCTGGGGAAATGGGGGTATTGAGGCACATGTCCAACAGGGCAGGTGGCTGCATCAGGTGCCCATGGGATAAATGCTGGAAGGGACCAGGATCCAGCCATGTGGTGGTTGAAGAAAGGTCCCCAGGGTGGGAGGGGACCACTTGTGACCAGAAGCCAGAACTGGGCTGTTGCCCCCTCTCATCCGCGTGTTTATTCCCCCTGTTCCGCCCGGGTCTTTGTAGAAAACGCTGCTGTCTCCACCAGCTCCAGGGCCTGAGGCACCACAAGCTGCTTCCTGGCTGTCCAAGGTGAGATCTCCCACAGAGGCCAGCCCCGGATTTGGGGGTGAGCAGGGATGCCAGTGGGGAGAATAGCATCCCACTCCCCAAGGCTCACCATTTCGGTCACCCCTAGATGGGCTTCCTGGCATATTCCCGGCGGTACTTGTCATCCACTCGCGTCAGGTACCATGTGCCGGGGAAGAGGTCCTCCTGGGAGCCGTGGGGAGCGTGGTTGGCTGTGGGGAGAGGGTGGTGATGCTCAGCGGGGTTGTGGGGCACCAGCGGGGAGGTGTCCCGTCCCCCTGGCCCCACTCACCCAAGTGATGGGTCTCCTCCCGCCGCTTCATGATCTCGGCGAAATCCTGTGGGGCCACGCGCTTGCGGGCATCCAGGCGAGCTGGCAGGTCAGCCAGACTGGAGACCAGCTTATCCAGGGGTGAACCTGATGGTGGGGACCCCCCAGGGTGAGACGGCGTTGCCAGTGGCCCTGGCCCAGCAGCCCCACGCTGCCCTCCCCTCCCGGCCCCCCTTTCCCGTCGGGCTCACCCGGGGCCGCATCCTG